TTCCAAAACCCAACTTTTCCGAGGTTTTCTTTTTTTAAAAAAAATCGATTATTAAGAGCAGCTTCCAATAATCCAGATGTTCCTTTAAAGGGGCATGGGTGCTGTCCCGTTTTACAGGATTAATCTGAAAAATGTCAGCCCTTGCTTTTTTAAAATTTGCAGAAAAGTTTCTCTGGGTTGCTCCGCAGGTTTTGTCGGATCCAGGAATGTGTGTGTTGTTTCCCCTTTAATGACAGATTGCTTTTATAAACAACCAGCAACACAAGTTCCAGCAGGGCATAGAAACCACCCGTAATTATTTAAATATCTGCAGGACTTGAAAACGGGAGGCATCCATAGCTCAGGTTAGGCACCCAGTGAGCCGTGAAACTGGATCAACAACATTAACACAGACACACAGACACACATTGTAGAGAACCACAACATTTGGGATCAGCTTATGAACCTTCTCCGTTGAATGTCTAGGTGGGAATCCGCCAGCCATTAACGCTTTTATTTTCTCTTCCTTCTTTTTCCCAGTGTCACGGACGGGTGTGAATTCTGGCGTGGTGACGTCTTTCCGGACCAGCTGGACGGACCTGTAAGGACGCACTTGCGGCTCGGGAATGTTCTCTGAAAACAGACTGTCCCGAGAAATGCCCCAAGGGGTGATAACGTTGGCTATGAAAAGTGGAGTGGGGGGGGGTCCTGCTGGTTTGAATCCCTTTGCATGACCTTAGCCGTTGGTGGAAGTGTGCATTCAGACCTGACTCCCTCTCCAGATAAACGGATGAAATTTGGTACCCTGAGTTTGAGATACCCTCCGACACTTCAAGGCCAAATGTTCCTTCTCCGCTTCTTTTCAAGGGTGCAAAATATTTTAAGGCAACACTTGAGTATTAAGAATTTGCAACAGATGATGGTGTTCATGCCCGGATCGCTATTCTGGACTTCAAGTTAAAAGTGTAACAAGAACAGCTCTGTTGGCAATGGGAGAGAAAGTCTACAAAACTCCTTTATAAAAGGAAATTAAAAATACAACCTCAGGCAGTGTGCGATCAAAGGCTGATGGAAGTCCAGAATCGTATGTCCTGTGCTGGCCTAGACAGATTTTGAGTTTATTTTTGCTTTGATGAAACGTTATCTTTTTCTCCTAACAGTTTCCCGAGAAGGGTCAGGATCCCTCCAAGGACTCCACCTCTAAACTCAGGTGACCGCCTCCAGGCCTTCTTGCCTCTGCTCTTTTTCCCTGTTCTTCTTCAAAAGCCTAATGGTTAGGGTTAGAATTTGAGATGTGTCTCTGAGAGGTTGGGAGTTCGGGTCCCGCTCGGCCTCCTTGACGGGGGTGGACTTGATAATCTATAGGGTCCCTTCCGGCCATGCGGATCTTAGATTGTTATAGTTATGAGGAATGAAGGGCAGGAACATTTTGATGCAACTTCTCTCTTATTGCATTCTCTGTTTTTAACAGGACGTCTCCCCTAGGGTGGCCTTACACAAACCGCCTTTAACGGTTGCGTCAAAGAGGGACGTGCAGGAACAATCTTGCTAGCTCTTAAAACTCTCCCACACCAGCCTGCTTCTTCCTCTTTCCCCTTAAACGATGAGATCGGCTTTCCCAGATCTAGCACTTTCCAAATACATAAGACTAATTCCTGTCGCTCTCTCTGGGGGCGATGGGAGTTGTAGTCCAAGCATATCAGGAAGGCACAAAGCTGGGAAAAACTGGCGTAGATCCCTAGCAGGCCTTAATTCTCTGTTTAAAGCTCAGACACCAGGGCTGTCCTTTCGCCTCTTTACATGGCCGACGGGAAAGCGTAGACGCGCGCTCTAGAATTCCCTGATCTATTTCTTAATGGTTTATTCCTACTTGTCTGTCTTGAGGCCAATGAATTGCTTAAATTTAGGGTTATATTTTACCAAGGCCTTGGATTTTTTGGGATACCAAAAGGAAATGTTAGCCAGCTGTTTACTTGATGAAAGTCGTGTCCCTCTGCCAGGAAGGAACTTTTGATGCTAACGTTTATTATCTTTAAACGGTGTTCATACCATCACCTCTGCTCTGTATTTCGTCCCCGTAATGCCTTCAACCCCCTGTTCACCGCAGAGAAATCTTGGCGCGCCAGGAGCCGACCCTAACCATCCAGGGCGCCACCGCCACCGTCCAGTTCCAAACTGGAAGGCAAGGCTTGACCTTCGACCTTTCCAAGGCGCCTCTCCCGGAAGCAAGGAAACAGCTCCAGGATCTGATGTTTGGCTTGGTGGAGCAGCTCCAAGCGCTGGAGAAATGCTCCAAAGGTTTGATTCATACTCTCTTTGCGATGGGTCTGCGCCCAACTTTTTCCCTTACATGTCCAGTTTCCCTCCATTCCTTCCAAGCAGAAAAGCTGTCTGTAATGGAGAAATCGTAAACCCTTTATTTATTTTATTTATATTCCATATATTTTGTGGTAGGGGTATAGGGCATAATTACTGAATGTCGAAACACTTGAATATACTCATTTAATGGTGTTTTAAATAGTCAAAAACCTGATGTAGGTAAAAACACGCTCTATTACAATATGAAAAAAAAATGTCGTTAAACATAGTCAAACCATTTAAAGCACTACTGATTTTTTTTAAGAGTACAACATACTGATTTTTAAAAAATCTATGTTGCTCAGGTTTTCTATTTTGGTGGTGGACAAAGAAGCTTCTAAGAAGGGGAGGGTGCTGTCATTACTATGTTGCTTGCTTTTAATTCCATTATGTTGTAATAATACGGGTGGCTCGATTTGTGCTGTAATGCTCGTTTTTGGGGTTTTATTTACATCTTACTTAAGTTCTTTGTGAGCTGTCTTGGGTCCAAACTTCAGCAAAAAGCAGATGATCAATCAATCAATCAATCAATCAATCAATCAATCAATCAATCAATCAATCAATCAATAAATAAATAAATCATTCAATTCTTCATTATTGCAGAGGGTGCTATTGCTACAAACCTATTGCCACTCAGCAGCCCTGAGAAGAACACCTTAAGCAGCCAAATCCTCTTTGCTCCAGGTAAGAGGTGTGTCACCAGGTGAGTCTTGTTGTTTTCCAGAGAAGAAAGACATTCTAGCTTTCACCAGTATGGCATCCCCAGAAATGCCCACTAAAAGAAAACGCCAGCAAAATACAGTGGGAGTGCTAATCCTATTCAGAGCGAGGGCAGGAAGGGGTGCCCTCGCTCTGATGTGGCTTGGTGATGTCAGAGTTTATAATTAACTCTCTGGACCACAACTCTCAGTATTTTATTTTATTTTATTTTTGGCTGGCAGGTATAAGTCCTCCAAAAAGCAAGGGTGGCGCCGGGCAAACGTCAACCAAGAAAAGGATACCTGGCGAATCGCTCATTAACCCTGGATTCAAAAGGTACGTGCTATACCTATTCAGTCCTGACCCATCTCCTGGCTTTGTGGGGCAACACATTGGGAGATGCTTGGATTCAGAAGATTTGTGACCTGCACTAACCATGTCCTTCCTATTTTTTGGCCCCAGCAAGAAGATTCCCACCGGGGTGGACTTTGAAGATCCCTGAACGAAGGATGGGCCACGTTTTCAGAATCAAATGCCAAAGAGCCACTCCCTGGATGTCCCTGAACCGGGTCTTTTAACTATTTATGCCTCATGGAACAAAGGGCCAAAAAGTCCCTTCCTTAAGGTATTTTAGCAAGCTATTTTAAATATGTACATATAAATAAATTTTAAAAAACTAAACAGAGGTTGCCGGGTTTTGGATTTTGAATAATGCAGTCTTGACAAATTTAACGAGGCACGTTCATTACCTGGAAGTAACATCCATTGAATACAGTGATGCCTCGCTAGATAGTCACCCCGCATGACAGTTTTTTACCCCGCATGACAGTTTTTTCGCTAGACATTGGCTTTTTGCGATCACTATAGCGATTCGTTAAACAGTGATTCCTATGGGGGAATTTTGCTGGACAATGTTTGGTCCCTGCTTCGCAAACCGATTTTTGCTAGACAACGATTTTGACAGCTCCCTCCATGCTCGCAAAACAGGTGTTTTTGGGACCTAAGCTTTGCAAGACAGCTATTTAAACAGCTGATCGGTGGTTCGCAAAGCGGCTTTCCTATGGCCGATCTCCGCTAGACAACGACAATTCTTCCCCATTGGAACGCATTAAACAGGTTTCAATGCATTTCAGTGGGGAAATGCTTTTCTCTAGTCAATGATTTCGCTAAACAGCGATTTCAGTGGAACGGATTATCGTCTAGCGAGGCACCACCGTATTTTGCATTCATAACCAGAGTTGACCATGGCCCAGCAAAGACACACCGGTGGGAACGCCACGGCGTGTCTCGAGTACGCTTGCCAAAGCACAGAAAAAGTGGTTTACCAGATTCTGCAACCCAGGCCTCTTCTGGCGTGGGGATTTGGGGAACTGTAGTCCAGAAACCTCCACCCCACCCCCAGGCCCTCCCCCAGATCGCTGTGCAAACTTCATATATAGGACGACTTCAGTTTGAACCTTTTCGCTTCCAGGAACGGGAGAAATGGTCCCCTTACGACCACTGAAGTTTCGCTCCATCCTGGGGGAGGGAACCGGGCCCTTCCTTAGCAGGACTTGGGGGGGGCATCTCAGCATTCATGTGCCAAGGAGACCCTCACACCGTCAGCCACAAATGAGCCACAGATGGCTGTGGGGCGGCTAGCAGCTGGACGAGGGACAAAACAGGGAAACGGGCCTGGGTGTTGTCTGGGTTTTGGAGAGGCCGATGTGCCGCACATAAATCGGAGTCCCTTTCCATTTCGGCCTCTTTCCTCTGTTTGGTTGCACGGAAGGAAGGCAGGAAGAATCCATAGGGCAGGGCTTGGGGTGAGGGGTACCCTGGCCCCATCCTTGAGGCCCAGCCGCGTGGTCTATTTGAGTGGCCGGACCACGCTCCGGTAGGCTTGGAGGATCTCCTCCTTGTTGGGACACGTGTACTTGAATTCCTTCACCTCCGCAGCGCTGTCTAGGTAACGCCAGACGCCCCGAAACTCTTGAGGGATGCCCGATTGCCTATAGTGCTGCAGGACGACCTGGTGGGAGGAAAGGGAGGGAAGAGGTCAAAGGTCATCCAGGGTGGAAGTGGGCACTTGCTTGTGGGGCAGGAAAGTTGAACTCGTTGGGGGTGGCTTGGCAACAGATAGTCCAAAAGTCTTTTCTAGATCAACATGCAGATTGTTCCTCTTAGGCTTTCATACTTCCTTCTTCTTCCTCTGAAATAAGTTCCTGTTTTAGGCTGTCCCGGTGGCGGGCAGCGTTCTCAGAATGGCTGATCAACAGGTCTACAGATAGAGAAGCTACCTCAGGGGGTCCTGCCATTAATTTTAGGGAGCTTTTCCTCCAGCACTATACCTGAACAGATGTATTAAGAAGACGAAAAGACGACACTCACATTCACAATGTTGAGTTTGGGCAGGAGGCCGCAGTCCGCAAGGGTCATCTGGTCTCCGTCCAGGAACCGTCGCTGGGAGACTGTAAGTCGGGGGTCCCGGACCAGCTCGTAGTCCAGTGGGGTCGTCAAGTAACTGTCCAGCTTTAGGAGGGCCTTGAGGAGATTCTTTTGTAAAGCTAGAAGAGAAAAAAAATGTAAAGCTATCAGGTCCCCCTGCACCCAAGAACTTCAGACATTCATCAGTTACATTAAAGTAATTGCTAGTGACCTTCAACAGTTACAAGGCAAAAAGTAGTAACTAGTTAGCGTTACAATTCCTTTTGAAACTGGTAACTCCTTGATTGTTTTTTTATTGTCTTGTTTACATGGATCAAGATACAGTGGTGCCACGCTTAGCGATTGCTCTGTTGAGTGATGAAATCGCTTTGCGATGGACTTTTGGCCATAGCTGGAGCGATCGCTTAACAATGTCCTCTATGGCTAAAATTCGCTTTGCGATGAAGAACTTTTTAAAATAGCTGATAGGCGGTTCCAAAATGGCCGCCGCAAAAACAAAATGGCCGCCGCTGTTTTGCCTCGCTGTAGAGGCACCCAAAATGGCCGCCGCTATGGAGGAATTTAGCTTTAAGGCAAATTTTTAGCCCATAGGAACGTATTAAACACGTTTTAATACGTTCCTATGGGCTTTTTAAAATCGCTTAGCGATTAAATCACTTAGCGATGTTTTTTCCGGAACGGATTAACATCGCTAAGTGAGGCACCACTGTACTTAATTTTTATCTCAATTATCTCGTCATTCATTATACTCATAATTATACTATAATTATTTATTATAATATACTCGTTATGCTGTTTGGAAGTATCCTAATATAACACACTCCTGGATTGTGGTACCTAAAAGACAACTAGACAGTGGGAGCCACACTTCCTAGTAACTATAATTGAGAGAAACACAAACCAGATCAAACCAGTTGCTGTCAACGAAGTGGTTTCCCCCTTTTTATGTGACAGAATTTATATGACCTAGTAATGCACCGGTTAAAGAGGAAACAAAGTTAATTACAAGTAACAGATGGTTTGTAACTAGTTGCTTCTACTAGTTACTAGGAACTAACTTTGCTGAGAAAAAGTTCCTTTCGAGGGCTGAGAAAGCCTCCTGCTAGAGCAAGCTGGCCTGCCTTCTCCACCACACAAAGACCCCTCCGCCCCTTACCTTCATCCTGGGCAGGTACCGGATTCTTGATGTAGGCGGAGAACCGGTGGAACACGTCGTTTCCTGCGATGCTCGACTCTTTATACCTGGGCATCAGGCTTGGGAAACTGGGGGGTGGACAGGGTTTGGGGGGGACGAAGGAGAGAGAGAGAGAGAGAAAGCAACGTTGTCACACCGAGGCTTCAAAACTGGGTTCGGGGTCAAATGTGGGATGTCCTCAACTCTATCAAGGCCTCCACTTGGGGGCCGGGACCGCTCCCGCGCCCTCTGGGCAGGGTGCTTACTTCGGGGGTCCTAGGGTCTCCTCCAGAAACTCCTCGATCTTCAGCGTGTCAGTTTTCGGTTCTCCGTCGTACAGCAACACAGGGAGCTGAGCTCCCGGGGCGAAGTCCTTCAAGACGTCCAGAGACCTGCAAGGGGAGGAAGAGGCGTCCGTACTGGTGTCTGAAACCCCATCTTTCCAGGGCACTCAACCCCCTGGAAATGGGGCACTGCAAAAACTGGGTCCCCATCGGGGACCCACAGCAACTCCCGAAACGTTGGGCTGGGGGGAAAGCTAAGTTAAGAGTACCTCTGAGAATATACAGAGTGCCTTATCAGACATCGCCCTCTGTTGGCTTTAGGAATTTTACAAATGAAGGTGTGGGTGTGCTGTTTCCTGTGTTTATGTGCATGATTTGTGTTTTCAAGACTGTGTAATTAAAAAAAACGTACAGATACAAATTTAGTGTGGAAGAGAATAGCCCTGTTTCATCCTGTCCGTGGTGTTCTTATTAGGGGTGTTTAGGGTGATCCTAATAAGGTTTCTGAGGTACATGAGATATTCAAGGAATGTTTTCCCATGTCCACCCTTCCCCGTGAGGTTTTGGGACTAAACGGGGATTTGAACCCGCGGCCTCTTAGTTCCAGTCTAGCACTTTGTCAGCAGGGTTGCCCATCCTTATCGTCACCCTCATCGCCGCCGCCATCGTTACCTTCACCCTTGCTCTCGGTGTGTCTCACCTCTTGGTATCCACGGTGGTCAGAGTGAAGGGGACCCCCTTGAGGAGCAGAATCATGAAGAGGCGCTGGCAGAACGGGCAATGACCGATAGTCTCCCCATCCTCACTCGCCTAAGGAGGAAGGGGAGAGGTTGGAACGATCCGATGGCGTTTCATAAACTGGAAATCGCGAAGGGAGCGAGCGCCGGTTGAGAGGAACCGTTCCCTCTTCCGAGGGGGACCTGGGAACTCAAATTCTCCCGAAAGGGGAGCACGGGAACTATGAAAATCCCATGCACCCCCAACTCTCTTTCGGGGGAAAGGGAACAACCCATAATAGACTGCTCTTGAAACACCCTGTTGTCTTTAGAGAAGACTCTTGCCTTTGAATGTTGTGCTTAGGTTTCAGTGGTAATTTTTCACCCTCTTGCTATGTGAGTCAATTCAGTATTTTCTTTGGGTGTAGCAAAAATGTCTTCCGGGAGCAAAACCCGGTGGTGGTTTTCCCTTTAATGCGCCACCCCCTCCACCTCCCTGCCGCTTGTTCTCTGCGCATTTGAAGACGCCCAGGTGACACGATGCTGTTGGTATGTGCCAGCTCGCCAGGGCCGCCCGCTTTCCTTTCGGGCACTGCTGGGTGTTAACAGCCCCCGAGATGCCCTCAGGCGGCCAAAAATGTTATTTTTTTTCTTTTCAGTGCCTGACCTCAGATGCAGAAAATCATGGATTAGCTCTCGTCCAAGGCTTCCATCAAGCCTCTTGTCTCCTCTCCTACTTCAGATCCCTGCACCACAACCACAAATCCTGTCAACTTTGCTTCAGCCTGCAAAGGGCCCTCTGTGCATGCCCAGAGGCTCAGCTTAGGGGCAGTGTCCCTGGTTCTTCGGTTCATCGCATCCCCGGTGCGAAGCCATATTATTTGGATTCTTAAATAACCTGCAGAATTTACTGTCCGCGGCTTTGAAGGCTTTCAAGGAAGAATTAAATAAAATTCTCAAAGGACAGTGATCAAAACCTTCCCCGCGAGATCAGGAAGGAGAAACTCCATGTTCAGTGGCAGTCTATCTTCAAATACCAGCTATAGGGCCCTGACACCAGGAAATGTTGTTACTTGTCCACCTGGCTCGTGGTATTCCTGGAAGGAATGACAGCGTGATGGGCGACACTGGGGCGGGTGATGCTCAGCTTTCTAGATTTGGGGCTCCTAGATTTGGGGCTCCAGACAGATGTTCCAAGGGTGAGGAATGAAGAAGTGGTCCAGCAACAACTGGATCCGTTTGCATCCTCCACCGTTGGACATCTGGATGAGCCACCTCTGGTGTTGCTTCGTGGGGTTATCCCCGGCTGGCACAAAGCCACGCTCCCTACCGATGGTCCACGGGGACAGTGCCTGCCTGGTCGTGGCACCTCCACACCCCACCTAGCCCCCCCAACCCAGTCCCTCCGAGGTCTCACCTTGACAAACAGCTGGAGTTTCGAGCTCTCGGCCATCCTGCTCAGGTCCCGGGAGAAAAACAGAGTGCAGAGCGCTGGCACCTCCATCGCCGTCTTATTTTATAAATCCGACACACCCTCCCCAAAGCACCCCGACTGCATTCCACGTCTCCTCTCGACGCCCTTTTTCTGCAGCTGCCCGACCAGATGAAACTCCCTCTCGCCCCTTGCTCTGCTCCCAGCCAGCCGGAGGAAGACTTCTGTGTAGCCCCCTCAAGCCGACGGAAGGCTACGCCAAAAGCTTTTGGGTGATCAGCAATGCATGCGTTGCTGCCAACGTCCAGCCTGTCCGACTTGACCTGCCGCCTTTTGCTTCTTTGGTGTCACAGAATGTTCACAAACATTCAGACTTAGGGAGCAGAAGAACCGTCATTCCTTCCATATTTTGTTGGTGAATCTCTCGGTGAGCCACTAAGAGCTTACCGAGGGCCAGTAAGAGCTTACCGAGCTGCCTATGGTGGGAATCGCAAGCTTTGGAGGATAACACGAGAAAGAAACATTTGAATTTTATAACCTTGAAAGGAGAAGTCCCTATTCTGTCTCTGTCTCTCTCATGCACAATGTACTGGGTTTCCCACATTCATTTCATGACACAAGAACCAAATTTGTTGAGCTATTTCCTCAACAGAAAGTTAAAATCCGGAGACACAGTAAATCATAGAGTCCGTCCATTAAGAAAAATTTTAAAAAATGTAATACAGTGGTGCCCCGCTAGACGATGATAATCCGTTCCACTGAAATCGCTGTTTAGCAAAATCATTGCTTAGCGAAAAGCATTTCCCCATTGGAATGCATTGAAACCTGTTTAATGCGTTCCAGTGGGGAAGAATCGTTGTTGTCTAGTGAAGATCGCCCATAGGAAAGCCGCTTTGCGAACCGCTGATCAGCTGTTTAAATCGCTGTCTTGCGAAGCTTCGGTCCTGAAAACACCCGTTTTGCGAGCGCAGAGGGAGCTGTCAAAATTGTCATCTAGCGAAAATTGGTTTGCGAAGCAGGGACCAAACATTGTCCAGCGCAATTCCCCCATAGGAATCACTGTTTTGCGAATCGCTATAGCGATCGCAAAAAGTCAGTGTCTAGCGAAAAAACTGTCATGCGGGGGTAACTGTCTAGCGAGGCACCACTGTACCTCGACAGAGCCTCATGCAATCCTTGAGCTTGTTTTTTTTCTCCAAGTGTCAGGATACCAGGCTCCAAATATCACCTCTTGTCGGGAGATGAGTTCTGACCCTGAGTTTCGTCAAGGAAAAACTACCTCCCTGATCCCGCACTGAAAAATATACTTGCCTGGAAAATCCGCCGGGTGCAACGGAAACTGGAAGGGAGCCAGGATAATCATAGCTTGGTCTACAAGCCCGGCTCAGGTTTCATATTTTGGAGGAAAATGAAGGGCGTTAATTAGCTCCGGTTCGAGTTCCCGAATGGCCTTCGGTGATGGGTGAAACTATTTTTGTCTTTTTCCGGGGCCTGCCCTCCCGCCCATCTGAGCACTAAGTGGGTGGATGTGGTCCCCAGTGAGACACATAGAGGATAGTTCGCAGGCTTCCTGTCCGGGACGGCCCTACCATCGGGCAGCGTGCCGTGAGCCCGGGATGTAAACGAAGCCGACACAGGTTTGCAGCCAACTGCCCACCGGAATTTGCGCACGCGATAGGTATAGATGGAAAACTTTTGTGCCGGAGGAAAAATGCTGAATCCAGGGTGCTCCTTGTGATGGATGACCGGCCTCTTGAGTCCTTTTTTGGGGGGGAGAAAGGTGGCATAGAAATCTTTTAAATAAATAAACTTTCCAAGCCATCTAGGGCATGCTTCTGCCCTGCAAAACATCGCCGTTGGGACTCTGATTCTTCTAAACACAAATCTTTGATTCTTTTAAACGCCATTTCTCACCGAGACCAGAACTCCAGGAAAAAACACACATTTTTTTTAAAGACTGGAGGATCATGGGACTCTGAATCCTGCAAAATTATTTCCCCTCGAGCCGCCACCCAGACAGGAGGGATCTGACATCGCCACAAGAATGTACAAAGTATACTTTGGGGGGAAATAGTAGGTGGATCTTTTTAGGGGACTCTGGAACTCATTGCCAAGAGAATCCTCCTTCCCTCCCCTTCTTTCATAATTGCAGTTTAAAAAAAACAAAAAATGGAAATAGGAAACATACAGAGAGACACTTCCACCAAGGCTTTTTGAGTATAAATAGTCTGAACTCTGCAAACACTGCTCCAGTTCCGTTCGGAAGCGTCCCTAAACGCTTTGAAAGACAGTGAGCCGTTTTAATCCTCCTTGGAATCGCCGGAATGGAATCCCATTGGAAAGTTTGCTTTTGTTTTTTTGCTCATTCCGAATTTTCCTTAAGGAAAAAAAAAGCATTGCATTTTTTTTTAAACGCTTCTTCTGTGCTGGAATGCTGACACTCCTTCGTTCTATATATAAACCGGCTCTTCTGCCCTGCCTTATTGGCAGCTTTCGCCTGGTTTGAAACCCAAAGGGTGACAATCCCCACCTCCAGGAACGATAAAACGAAAGGTAAGGCTGGTAAAAGAAAAGTCATCTACAGTACAGTGGTGCCTCGCACAACGATGTTAATTCGTTACAAAAAAAAACCCCATTCTGTGAAAACATCATTCTGTGAAACACCATTTCCCATAGGAATGCATTGATCAGTCCGTCCAATGGCTTTCAATGGAGAATAAAAAAATTCACCAAAAATTAACAAAGACTCAGAACAACACCAAATTAAGTTTGCTTATGTTTCACAAGCTGGACTATCGATGCCAAGCATTTAAAACAGGTTTCAAACAGTTTAAGGCACTTTTAAATGAGTGAAAAGAGACATCGTTGTGCGAAAATTCCCCATAGGAAACATCGTTGTGTGAGGCGGCAAATTTTTCAGAAAAAGCCATCGTTGTGTGAATTTATCGTTGTGTGAGGCACTCGTTGTGCGAGGCACCACTGTATATGGCTTTGACCTCCTTAAAGGCGGCGGCAGGGTAGGAATGTGAAATAGTAAATAAACATCTGGGGATGAAGCTAAGAATGCAGTGCAAAAGGAAGTAAAATACATCACAGCATTGGCAACATTATTCACAATTTTCTTTCCCGCTGCCTCCATGCACGGCAGAGCAAGACGCAGCCCCTCAAAAGCAGCAGACAATCCCCGATTAGTTATTACGATGTTTTTATTAAAACAATAATTATATTCACATTTATTTATTTATTTTTGTCTCTCGTTCTGTTGATGTTGGGGTTGGTTTGTTTGTTTTTTGCTAGCAATATACAGGCTCTTGTTAAGGCGCCGGCCGGAGGCTCGTCCGGCTGCCGGCAAGCCGAGATGACTGGAGGAACGCCAGGCACAGAATGTCCAGAAGTTGGGGGGTGCAGGAGCGCTGCACCCCAAGAAAGCCGGTCGGGAGTGTGCGTGTGTGCGGGGGGGGGGAGAAGCGGTTTGTTAAGGCTAGGAAGAAATGTGGATCCCGCCAAGCAAGGCAAAGTGGGTGTCCTGACTCCTTTTTGGTGGGGTGAAGGCCTTCTTTTCCTTTCCAAATTTGAAAAATGCCATTTTAAAAGAATTCGGAAATAAGTGGCTCTCCTTACCCAGAGCTTACAACGGCTGAGCTACCCACAAAAAAAGGGAAATTCCTTCCATAAGCGCACAAACCCACCCTTTTCAACTGTCCAGAGCTCAAAAAAGATCCATTCTCTCTCTCTCTCTGGACTACAATACCCAGCATCCCCCCTCCCTCAGGAAATTTTCCAATCTCCCATCTCTTTTCTCACCTGGATGTCGGGGGGGGGATGGACACACACACACACACACCTTGATCTTACTCAAACAGACGCAGGTACACACCTTCCACTAAATAAATAAATAAATACCATGTGCTTGCTCACAGGGAAAACAGTCTGTGACATAAATCAGTGCCGCCGCCCCCCAAACAGCCCAGCGTCCAAAATTGAATACTTTTGTGTTTTCTGATTAAATATAGCTCTGTTTGGCACATCAGGGGGGAAAAAGGTGGGGAGCAGTCTCTGAATCAGCCAGTCTATTTCTCTCTCTCTCTCTCTCTCTCTCCAGCCAAAAGATGGGACTACAACTCCTAGCATCCCCCTCCCTGGCTCCGTTGGCTGGGGCTGATGGGAGTTCTCCAGCCCAATAGTGTCAGGAAGGCGACTTGCTCCCCAGGCCTGGCAAATACTGACCAAGATGGGGGGGAACAGGACGATGGGAGTTCTCCAGCCCAATATTGTCAGGAAGGCGGCTTGCTCCCCAGACCTGGCATAGAAAATACTGACCAAGATGGGGGGGAACAGGACCCAACAGCTGCTAAGAGGCTCAAAAAGCTCTTTCTTTCTTTCTTTCTTTTTGGACTACAATCCCCAGATTCCCCACATCATCACCATCCCCCCCTCCCTGGAAGCCGTCATTAATTGCAAATGGCAGCTGTGTGTTTAAATGGCCGGCTTTCCGTGGAAGAACGCCGAACATCCAGATGAGCGAGAAAAGACCTAAGAAATCATGGCATCATCTTCTGCTTCATGCACAGCTGATGGCGCGGTTGGTGCTCTGGTTCCTCTCGTTAGGGAAACGAATCCTCCTCAAATTCCCATTAAAAGGGAGCTCTCTGCACCCCCCCCCCAGGGATGGCGCAGAGAAAAGATCTTGCGGCAGCGCGGCTGAGCTTCCATGGTCTGAAGCAGTATACCTTTCCGTCCCTCCTGCTCTTGCTCGCGCACGTCATTCACTAAGCCTTGGGAATAAACTCCGGCGAAAGTCTTCTGCCTGGGTTTGGCGCTAGCCGGAGCGATCCGTTGAAAACTGCTGGTGCAAGGGGGTCTCCAGGCCTCCGGCCGGCATGTTGTATTGGTGTAACTCCGAGGTAAAGGCAGTTATTGTCTGCTGGATCCTCCGTGCAAACGCCGAGGCGGGCGGAAGGGATCTTTTGCAGGGAACGACGCAGAAATGGGGCGGGAAATGCCCTCTTTAAAATGCAGACCCAGTTTTAACGGTTTCATCCACCAGACTTGTAAAGTTGTGGTCTCCTCCAACCATTCAAGGAATAAACCGGGCTTCATAATCAGCCAATGTGTTTTTTTTTCCCCCAGTAGGGGCAGCCAGGGCACAATTAGACACACACACACACACAGAGATACACATACAACCTCACCCCACCTTCTTCGATTCCCTGGCCCTGGACATAAGACCCACACGGGAAAAGTCAAACGTTTGTCGCAGCAGCCCTCCTCTTTGCAGTTCCGTCCCAGTGTAATCATCATCATCATCATCATCATCATCATCATCATCATCATCATCATCATCATCATCATCATCATCATCATCATCATCATCACCTTGTGCCATCAAGTCAATTCTGATTTATGGTGACCCTTTTTCAGAGGCCCCCCCCGAAAAAGTTAAGATTTTGCCATAAGCCGGCTTTTTTCACCTTCCAGGTGAAATTTTTTTACAAAGAGGGTTGCCTGTGTGAGAAGCAAACCTGCATTAAAGTAGACCCTCCTGCTCCCGTGCAGGCACTGCCGTCCACATTCCAGAGAGGGTCCGGTGCGGCCGGCCGGCATCTCTTTTGCGGGTCTCGGTAGCCGACACGGAACCGTCTCGGCCCCGTGGGGCAAAACCACCAAGGCCAGACGCTGAGAAATCGGGACCCATCGGACGCCTCTTCTTTCGCGCCTCGGGCGGCGGAGGTTCAAGGGGGGGCATCAAGGGCCAACGGGAGGCAGAGGTCGTCCAGTTGGAGGAGGGCATCTGTGGCTCGGAAGCCAAGGGCGGGGGCCACTCGCCTGTCCCCCCCTCAGCAGAGCGTGTCCGTGTTAAAAGAGAGCTGAGCCTGGTAAGGAGGGCGAGAAGGTGGAAAGCAAAATGTTAGCCATGTGGATATATGGATGTTTTCCATATTTCCCCCCCCCAGTTTGGAGTAGAAAAAAACTTAAGAGAGTTTTTTTTTTTAATTTCTAGGGCTAAAAAAACCACCACGCATAGCGATTCCATTATTACATCTCTCACCACCCAGGAACCAACCTTTCGGGAGGATTTGGGTTGTCGTCCTCAATTCCTCAACACTCAGGCGTGGAGTCCTGCGTGTTCACTGTGTTTGTGCAGGATTCAGAGGGGCAGCCTCCACCCCTGGCCCCACTGGCCCTTGATCCCTGTTTCCCCCCTTCTTCCTCCCCCCAAATCCCTGTTTTCCCTGTCCTGCCCCGGCTGGGTCATCCTGGTGAGGGGGGGGGGACAGGAACGACGGACCCCTGCCCAGCCCCTCACCCGCTCCTCCTCAAAGCTGATCAGTCCCTCGTCGTCGGTCTCCAGGTCCTCAGGCTCCTCCACCACCAGGGCCCGCAGCTCCGTGGGGGCCGCTCGGGGCCGGAGCAGGTTGAGCAGCCGCTGGAGAGGCGACTCCATCGAACAGGCCGGGCTGCCCGCCTCCTGCTGCTCCAGGTTGTCGCTCTGCTTCTTGGCAAAGTTCACAAAAACCTGGGGAGGGAAGAGAAGATCCAGGGGGAAGTCACATGGCCAACCGAGGATCGGGTCCAGGGGTCGATCGGGAGACCCCCACCTGCTCAGTTGCACCCCCCAAACCTCTCCGAGCCACACGTGTCCATCAGGAGCAGCAAAAAATATATATTTAGCACCATCTTTTTCGGGAAGAGCCACGGCCGGGCTGCTCTTTCCTGCTGCCCGACTTACGTTGTCCAAGGTGGTCTGGCTCACGGAGTAATCCTCGATGCCCAGGACGTCCACCACCTGCTCCATCTTGCTGAAGACCTGGGCCAACGAGATCTGCTCCGACTTCAGCTGGTATTGCACTTTTGTGTGGTGCCTCTCCTAGGTTTGGGAAGGAAAAGTGGGTGAACCGGAAGAAGGCGCCCACTCAAGGCGCGGAGGATATTTTCCTGTGCAGAAGCAAAAGGATCTGCCAAGGATCACCCCTTCTGACGCTCTGCCAGTATAGGAGGATCTACCGCCGAGGAGTCCTGGAGAGGCGGCTCCATCCACAGCAGTTCCCACTAGGAAATTCTGGCTAAAGTTTAGTCCTCATCTCCTTTCCTGCCTCTTGGGTTCTGCCCTGGAGCAGTCTGAAAAACCCGGTTCCATTATCAGATCTGCAGGTGGACCCCCAAGGTGTGGGTCCTTCTTCCCCCCTCCCCCGAATGCCTCTCACCTTAAGCACAGCTTCTGGAAAGTTCCGGTTGAAGAACCGCACGACCTCTTTCACATTGAGGCTCGACTTCGTCCGCACTGTGATCATGTAGCCATCCCCAAACCTGGTTCGCATCGAGAGAATTCGGGTGAGGAATCCAACCGACCCCACCCTGCATTTCCTTATCCTTCCACCCTCAAAGCAAGACACAGCTGGGTGGGGCTGGTTTGTACCCACAGCGCTCACGATGCATTTCTGCAAATGCATTCATGCCTGGATCTTCATGAGGCCCCAAAATGTTTCATTTCATAAAAGAAATGTCCCTGAACCATCCCCATGCAGACGGATGGGTCTTTTTTTCCAGCTGTTGTAATGCCTAGGTTCTGTCACTAGATGTCGATAGAGTTCTTAAATCCTTCTCTTTTCTATTATTATTAATAAGGACATAACAGAAAAAAGGCAGTCAATTTTGTTTGCTCTTTTTGCAGCTTTAATTTTAAAAGCAACAACACGTCGGGGAATGCGGGCATCTTAAAACAGTGGATACGGAGCCCCGTCTTAGAGCCCGCTCTTCCCCATACTCCTCCGCAGGCACATGCCTCTCCCAGTCCCCACCACCCCAACCTAACCAACACAGCAGCCCCAGAACCAGCAGAGGTGAGAGGACCCATCCTTCCCCTCTGTGGTTACCTGTTCTTGAGATGCTGGATGCTTCCTAGACATTTCAGGCGTCCGTTGACCATGATGGCCAGACGGGTGCAAAGTGCCTCGCATTCTTCCATGCTGTGCATAAAAACAGAAATAACGGTGTCGCTCCCTCAGCGCCTGGTTTCATGGCCCTGCTCTCTCCTCACGGTCTAGGCCTCGGAGAACAGGAACGGGCCTCTCGGCTCACCTGTGTGAGGTCAGCACAACCGAACGGCCTGTTTTGATGATGTCCAAGATGAGGTTCCACAGGAAACGTCGGGCCTTGGGGTCCATTCCTGTGGTTGGCTCGTCCTGCCCATAGACAGAAGCGGGAGGGAGGGTTAGCCATCATCCGTGGGTGCCCCTAAGCATCACTTCGTCTGCCCGGCATGAAACTGAGCAGCAGCCACTACAAGTCTTATAAAACCAAAATCACTAAAATGAGAGGGGGGGAGAATTAGCCTACTTACCTATTTTTCCATGTATAAGACACCCCCATGTATAAGACTCCCCCCACTTTTATAACCCAAAATTAAGAAATCTAAGTGGGGCTTAGCAAGTGCAGGGGAAAGGGATCAAAGCGCTGCAGGATCGCTTTGATCCCTGCTTTCCCCTCCACTTGTTTTCGTTCTCTCCTCACCTTACTTCTGTGTATAAGACGCCCCTCAATTTTTAGTCTAAAGATTTTAGAGAAAAGTAGTCTTATACACGGAAAAATAGGTACTTAGTGTATATTTACAATTATTGATACAATTCTCTTTTGTAGTTAAGAGGCTTGTTTGCAAAGCCGTTTTGGTCGCGAATGAGGAAAAAGAGGTATTTTGTTCTTCACGGTTGCAATGCTTGCATTCTGCCACTAGATGCCGACAGAGTTCCGCTGGATTCAGTTTGCGCCCAGAGACGGCACCAACGCCAAGGGAAAGAAGGGCGCCCACCCTGTACTCTCCCCTCCCCTGCTACTCCTCACCAGGAAAATGAAGGCCGGGTAGCCAATCAGGGCGATGGCCGTAGAGAGCTTCCTCTTGTTCCCCCCACTGTAAGTGCTGGCAGGCTTGTTCGCGTACTTGCTCAGCTCCAGTTTCTTCAGGGCCCACTTCACCACCTGGGACAAATAAAAGGTGCAGTCATGTCAACACGTAATGCTGGATCCGACCCAAGGTCCCTCTGTCGTTCACAAGCTGGCTTCCCACAGAGGCCGACACTTAGCCTCTGGAAAACTCCCAAGCAAGAAAGGAAGCAAAATCTATTGGGAATGCTACTAGGATGGGCTGGGGGACTGCAATTGCCAGGATCCCTCACCCATCAGAGCCAAACGTCGGCGATATTTTGAAGCCCAAAATATCTGGGAGGCCAAAAAAACAGAATTACTGTTATAGATCATGATAAGTCTTCTTCCAGGTTTTTGGAAATAATTTTCTTTCCAATCTCAGCAACCCCAGCGGGTTCCTGTTGCCTCTTGTGGCTGGGAGTTCCGCAAGAGAATTTTGTGTTGGGCCAAAACATAGAAGATACGAGTCTCTTCTCAAAGCCCCGGCCACTTCTTGGTTTCTGAGCCATAGAGATCAGAGGCGTCCATGCACCCACTCGCTGGTTTGACCTCTTTCTTACCCGTTCCTCGTCCTTCCAGGGGATGCCCCGCAGCCGGGTGAAGAGCTCCAGATGTTCCTGTGCCGTCAGCTCGTCAAAGAGGGCATCAAATTGGGGGCAGTAGCCCAGGCTTTGCTGCACCTGCAGAAGCTCCTTCAAGATGCTGCGGAGACGAGAGAGGGATGCGGAGAATGTTCCCGATCAACCAACGGAAGCCGGTCGACCCATGGAGAATTCCATGCATTTCGGAGCAAGAAACACCACGGAAAGATAGAAACAAGGACGTGACCTTGGATGAAGGAACATCTCTGGTGCAAGGGACCGATACGCAAATACTTCCCAGCTCAGGCATAAAGGGAGAAGGCCAGTGAGAGGATTCAAAACAGGGATCGCCTAGGAGCTGGTCAGGATTTGAACTCTGATCTCTCCCAAGTCCTAGCCCAACACTCTCATTGCTCCAAAATGCTGGCCAATCTGCATTTTATTTTAGGGTTCTTTTTACAACAACTACTTTTGTCAAAATGAGAATATACCTTTCAGAAAGAAATAATGCTGTTTTAATTTAAAAAAATACAGTGGGGTCTCGACTTACAAACGGCTCTGCTGCGGAGACGAGAGAGGGATGCGGAGAATGTTCCCGATCAACCAACGGAAGGCGGTCAACCAATGGAGAATTCCATGCATTTCGGAGCAAGGAACACCACGGAAGGATAGAAACAAGGACGTGACCTTGGCTGAAGGAACATCTCTGGTGCAAGGAACCGATATGAAAATACTTCCCAGCTCAGGCATAAAGGGAGAAGGCCAGTGAGAGGATTCAAAACAGGGATCGCCTAGGAGCTGGTCAGGATTTGAACTCTGATCTCTCCCAAGTCCTAGCCCAACACTCTCATTGCTCCAAAATGCTGGCCAATCTGCATTTTATTTTAGGGTTCTTTTTACAACAACTACTTTTGTCAAAATGAGAATATACCTTTCAGAAAGAAATAATGCTGTGTTAATTTTAAAAAATGACAAGGCATGAAGAAAATGGGAGGCACAAAGGGATTGAGGGCAGTGGAGCAACTGGATGCTTCTGGCCCACATAAGAGGATGAGGAGCAAGGGATAAAAAACTCATGGGCATGAGAACCGGAACTTGAAAGCATAATTCAGTTGAACTACAACTCCCAGAATCCCCACTGGCCAAACTGGCTAGGGAAATCTGGGGGTTGTAATCCAAAAAGAGAGGGGATTTTCCCCGGCTCCAGCCAGAATTGGGATCGCAGCCTCGCTGTGGACGCACCTGTGTCCATTGACAAAGGCCTCGCCTCCCGTTGTACTCTCGTCCCCCGTCAGCATCTTGAAGGTGGTCGTCTTCCCGGCGGGTTGATTGGTTTAATCAATAAGCAGCTCATCTAAGCCAAGGACCATGGCCAGACCTTGTGGCAGGCAGTTTCCCAAGGAAATGACAAGGCATGAAGAAAACGGGAGGCACGAAGGGATTGAGGGCAGTTGGAGCAACTGGCTGCTTCTGGCTCAAATAAGAGGACGAGGAGCAAGGGATAAAAAAAACTCATGGGCATGAGAACCGGAACTTGAAAGCATAATTCAGTTGAACTACAACTCCCAGAATCCCCACTGGCCAAACTGGCTAGGGAAATCTGGGGGTTGTAATCCAAAAAGAGAGGGGATTTTCCCCGCCTCCAGCCAGAATTGGGATAGCAGCCTCGCTGTGGACGCACCTGTGTCCATTGACAAAGGCCTCGCCTCCCGTTGTACTCTCGTCCCCCGTCAGCATCTTGAAGGTGGTCGTCTTCCCGGCCCCGTTGACCCCGAGTAAGCCAAAACACTCTCCTGGCCGGACCCCCACGCAGAGGCGGTCCACGGCCAGAATGCGTCCGATCTTGCGAGATTTGTAGACCTGGAGCACAACGGGGTGGAAGCGGAGGTAAGCAATGGGGGCGTTTTTCTCCCTTGTCAGGGGTCCTTCCAGCTTCTGGGCTTTGTATGGCAACCCCCACCATCACAAAACAACTTCACTCACCAAATGACAATTTGGGCCTTACATCCAAGTGTCGTTAGCACAGTCAGCAACAACCCCTAATTCCCCGGATGGAAATCTCGTCTTATCTCGCTAAGGATACTCTCAACATATATTGGATCTCGGCCTCTGCTTGTTTCTGGCCACGCACCCATCCCTGACCTCCCTGATCCCACTTAAAAGAGGCTTTGGGGATCTGATTCCTGCCCGTTTAGGAACACCACCACCCCTGCGCCTGAAGCCCTCGGATCAGACCCGCAAGGACTCCGAGCATGAGCTGGACCCGCTGGACAGAGCGTGGAAACTGGAGGAGGAGTGCCGTCCCCACCTTGGTGAGGTTCTCAATTTTGAGCATATCGTTGTCAGCGTCTCCCCGCAGGACTCGATGCCGCTCATTGGCCACGTCCACGTCGTCTTCTATGGGTTTGGTCGACACGGGAAGACGCCTGGACCGGAGAAAAGTGGGGTAGAGTCAGGCTATAGGGGGAATGCCAAAATCACCCCCGTCTTGCCACACACACACACACACAGAGAATGAGATAAAGCCACTCTCCCAAACACAGAAGTCGTACATGTTGGCCACATGCGAGACCAAACATCTTCTGCAGCCTGGGAATCATCACCCTTAGTGGTCTTCCCCAGCCTTTTAAAAACCCAGTCTCTTTTTGATACACATAAAACCCTTTCCCCCTTCAAATCTTCATACTTATACACACATTCTGTTTGTGTTTTTTTGAAAGGAGAAAAAGTTCCACTTTAATACTGAGGCCGTTCTTTCAAATAACGCATATCACAACACACAAACACACACACACCTAGAGCATTTCATCTACCAAAAATGTTGACCCAACCACCTCCAACTTTCAGCTCACCCAAAGATCATGCCATAGATAAGACGTAAATAGTCAACCCTTGTTCAGCCCTGCCTCGATCGCCCTCCTTTCCTTATACTGCCATTTCTGCATTGTATTTTGCACTGCCTGGCCCCTCAAGGTGCGTGAACTTCTCCTCTTGTATTCCTGTAACACTGGGGCTACAAAGGAGGGTGTCTACCCCAGACAACCCCACCCCCTTGGTGCCTAATCTGAATTCTCCAAAGTGCAACCAGTCCGTCTGTAGGCGCCAAGACTTCTTGGTTGACCCTCGTAAATACTCTGCATCTAAGACAAAAGTTTCAACCTTGCTTTGCTCCCCGTTAGGGAAAGCTTCGCTCCAACACACATACATGCACATACAGAGAGAGAGAGATGCAGTGACACTCACTGCGGCTTCCGGAAGAAATTATACTGGCACATAATGGTGATGAAGAAGCCTACGAAGCCTTCAATGGTCATGGCTACCAAGCCCCGCGTCACGATGTCCCACTCGAAGGGCGACTTCATCTTATCGAATTGCCCTAGAGGGAGATAGGAAGGAAGAGACGATGCCATGGGACGGCTTTGAAGCCTTCCCTTCCTGGTTTTTCAAAAGCCAAGAAGTCATCTCATAGGTTTTAATAAGGAGGAAAACAAGGAAGAGGAAGAGGGTAAGGGAAGGCGATGGGCCAGTTGGCCAAGGAATCAGGGTGGCAACGTACCAATCTTGGCGTAGTATTCGTTGATGTACTCGTTGTACGCCATTTCCATCAGCCCGTGGCCGAGATTATAGTTCGGGAAGATCAAGAAACAGCTTTTCAAGTAGCTGTTGACCATTTTCAAGTCCTACCGAAAGAGGATGGTCAGAAGAAGTCGGAAAGCGGGGTCAAGCCATAGGAGGCCCTACTCTGCCCTGCCCAGCCCTTTGGGGAGCCCAGAGGAAAGGGGGGGTCTCTTGCAAGACCGGGGGGGGGCCCTCCCCGCCTCGGCTCCTCTCACCTTGTCATGCTCAAAGAGCTGAAGCAGAAAGGTGGCCACGGTGGCCGTGATGCCGATGAAGAGGTTGATGACGATGAGGAAGACGTAGGCGGAGCTGGGCACCTCGAACCAGAAGGAGGCCGGGTACATGATGGGCGTGATGGACCAGCTGAGGAGGGCAGCGGAGGGAGAGAAGTCGGGAGGAAGGAAGGAAGGAAGGAAGGGGAG